GTAAGATTACATTTTTCATGATTTTACATATATTAAACAACAGATTGTATTTATAAATTATTGTTCTATCATTTGAATGCAGTTACTTCTTCTATGTTCATAATAAACTGTACAAGTACCTGTAAATAGGATTCAGAGAGATGATATCTCTGATGGTTTCTACCACTGCTGCTGTTGTGGCCTGGAAAAGACACAGGGCAACGTAAATATACATGGAAATAAACTTAGTACTGTTGGAATGAGGAGGGTTTCTGAGTAACAGTTATTTATGCCAGAGAGAAAATATCTGATTTGCAATATCAAACTCAGCAGTTATCTAACACTGAAAACTTGAAAATTGTTTCTATATATCTTACCTTCATTTGATCATTGTACTCATAGGATATGTCTTTGACATTCTCTGTTTCCACCATCAGAATTTTATCCATAGACACAGTTTTAGCAACATCTTCCTCTATTTTTTCTCCCATGGGTGGAGGTGTGGGTGTGTTCATTGCTACAATTGTAACAACATTTATTGCCTTAATGTTATAACATTTAGCAGTACACATGCAAGAGCAAGAATTCGAGGTAACATAAAATGTTATAAAATTCTCAAAAGAGTATGACTGTATATTGTGTGATACAACTTCTTCAAACTGTTAATGTCTCTGGATTCAGAAACTAGCTGTATTTACATATAAAAAAAAGTTTCTAAAATCTGAATCCTAATTGACCATAATTTTTTTTATTTGAACCTTATCTTTTTAAAAATGAAATAAACCTTGCACAACTTTTGTAGGATGTGTTTTGCGAGATGCTCTTATTTTCCACTATAAACTTGTATACTTGAATAAATGTTTTGTGTCATTAAAACAAAAGTACACATAGTTATAAATGTGTCAACATACATGCTATTGGTTCATCTAGTGTCTCTGTGGTTTCTACTTTCTCTTCACCATTGCCATTATTTGCCTTGCCATTTCTTCTCCTCTTCATTTTTCTTTTGCTGTCATTTTTCTCTTGAACTGTTTTGACTGTCAATAAAATGAAAAAAATTAATTAATTTACCATATAACGAAACATGATATTTCCTTATTTTAAGAATATTAAAATCTTGAATGCTACACATTCAAGATTTGCAAGAAAGAAAAAAATGGCAGCAAAATTCTTTTCATTAAGAGCTCATACAGTGGCTATTGATAACACACATGCATACTAAATAGCCTTGCTTTAATTATAAACACAAAATTTTATGAGTTTATATTAGGAGTTGTAGAAAACTGTTTAATATTATAAAATCTGCATAGACACAAGAGAACAGTGGCCTAACCGTTTGTCAAGTTTTATAAATAGAATTCTGTAACAAGGTAATAGGTAATTTGAGCCAAACTATGAATTCTACTCAGCAAACAGAAAAATGTGCATTACCTTGCCATATTTTTTCAGGTGCACAATCCATCTCAAAAGACTTATTTACATTAAATATTTACAAGTAAGAAAAATGATTTCGTAAGTAGTAATTTACATTAAAAGAAATAATATCAGCAGAGAGGATATTTTTCATCATTTAAACATGATAAACAGAACTACAGTGGAGCCTCATTTATCCGGACACTTTGATTCCTAGTCAATTTGTCTGCAGATATGTGATGCGTCTGGATACCTGAATTACCAGTTAAACAAGACAAAATAATGTTAAAAACTTCCGCTCCCCTGAAAAATCGTCCAGATACTGAAGCATCTGGATATCTGTCGTCCAGATATCAGTATTATCTGAAGGTCCACTGTATATAATGATATCCAAGGGTAAAAATTTACTTAATACTTGCAAAAACTGGCTTTTAGAATGTACACTGTAATAATTATACATGTAGTACATGTATTTTCTTTAAAAGTAAGGCAATAAATAATCAATATCTACAGCTTACTCCACTTATATTGAACTCGCTTATTTTGAAATTCCGCTTATTTTGAATTAGAAATAAATCCCCAGATTTTGCCTCTCATATTCTTTGCATTAAAATAACAGTTATATTGAAATCGGTTATATTGAAATTTCGCTTATATTGAAGCCACTGATCGGTCCCCACAGGTGATAATGAGTTGTTTTAATAACGGTTATATTGAAGTACTCCCTGGCGGCTGTCGTTACCGTTGGTAACAGTAATTATGCCTGATTGAGCAGTTGATATACAAAGGTGTGAATAATTTAGTTTTCAACATTTGTGTATTAATACTGCATGTTCTTACGAAATAAAATTCTTCACTGTTCAATTTTTTGCATCCACGTATATAATACGGACATATTGAGGCTAAACAGCTAAACGTAATATACTAATCCCCACAGATCTAGGTAAAAAACATAACTTTGAAATTAAATACGTACAGTGTACTGTTAATTAATTCATATGCCTAAATTCGAAATAACTAAGGGATTAACCCGAGTACACTTACGATGAAATACAAGCAGCATTCAGCAGTACTTACATGTAACTGTTCAAGTCTGTGAATTTTCTCCAAAAGGTAAATAAATGCGATCGGGGAATAATAATGAGGGGTGAATCGAAGATTGTCTTTTCAATGAAACAGACATAAAAAAATATTTAAAACTTCAAGGACTCATATTCTTTGTAATCTGTTAACTGTTATAGATAAACGATGACAAAATTAATTTGTTCGGGTTTGTTCTTCTTTATTTTAGATTGGGATTGACCTTGTAAAAATGGCGGCTTCACGATTTCGCTTATATTGAATTACTGATATATTGAAATAATTTGCATGGTCCCCTGAATTTCAATATATCCGGAGTAGGCTGTAGTTTGTTCCAATAAAAAAATTGAAATTCCAATAGATGATTTTATAAAATTATCCTATCTTCATTTGTTACCAGAGTCTGAATTGTTAGTTACATAGATTATTTTTTTTGCCAGGAGGAAATGCAATAGGATTTATTTCAATTAAGCCATGTAATATAAGGATATTACAAGTTCTTTTTAATTTAAATATTGTATACAGGATTATTTTTGGCCAGTGTTATTTTTGCCCTTTTACATTTGCTTACAAATTTGCCCAGTACCATTTCTGTTTATGAAATCATACTGTATACTTTGATTTTGCCCCTTTTTAAATTCACCCACGTGTGACAAGTGCAAAAGGGGAGAAAATTTCGCTGTATACAGTAGCATGCTTTCAATACATCAAAGATCAAAACCTATTTTAACTGGCATCTATACTGCTCTGAGAACTTACGTGGTGAAATTGTCCCTGATGGAAAAGGTTCTGCATCCTCTGTTAAAACATCAGTTATTCGGATCCTAGAAAATGCACACACAAACTTTTATTTTTATGCTCATTATTAATTATGTAATAATTTGACCTAAAGATCATAAATTTAAAATACATTCATAAAGTAAACTGTTATTGTTCTTTTTTCTCAAATTAAGATAAATGCCTATTAACACTACTAAGCAAACCTTCTGTGGCAGTTGACAATCAATCTTATTTTTGTTTTCATGTCTTGCAACTCAGCAATTTGGACGAATGTTCCCACTTTGTAGATATCATCTAAAGAGGACACACAATCAGCTTCATTTCTAAAAAAGATATAGTAAATATTTGCTAATTCAGTTTACCATCATCTTCTAGAACATTCTGTAAATCCTACCATCTATTGATTCACTGCATGTTTCAAATCAGAATTCAGGCTTTTCAACAATGAAAAAATTTACATACTGGTTTGAATGACACAGATACCAGCTAGCTGTAAACATCTACCAAGTCAAGGTTGCATCTCTTTCTCTCCCACAAATCTGCTGATGCTCATGTGTATTGTGACCTTGATACATCAAAACATGATGCAACCAAAAAAAAAAACAACTTACGAGTCACTTTTCTTCAGAAAAACTCCTGCATATGGTTGATTCAATTTAACTTTCCTCCGCAACAAATCCATTAAATCAGGATCTTTTATCTGTGGAAAGAAAATTATAAACATTGGTAAATTACCAGCTGATTGCCATTAAAGTTACCTTTATTCTACTTAACTAGCCATTTTCACATGGACTTTTCCATGTGAAATAATTTTCACTTACAGAGTATCTTACTTATTATTTTTAAATATGAAAAGAACATAGATACTTAAATTTTTCTATACACATTCAACAAAATGTGCTCTTGTGGATACAAGCTACATGTACATGTTGGCATGCACTGAAAAGAAATATTTACCTCTAACATTTTACTAAATTTAGGGAAAACAGGATTTCGGTTGACAGCTAATACTGGCACTCTTGGAAAGTAATCCGGTACGGTCAAAGGGGTCGGGAGGTACTGGGGTCCTTGGGGAGGAGGGGTTTCTCCATCCTCTGCTTCCCCCGAAGATTGTTGACTTGAATACGCTCTTAAGCAATGCCAGTTCACAGATGATGCTCGTTTCCATGTTTTCAAAAGATTTTTGTTCCAAATAGACAATTTTTTAGAATTACATAACTTGTTTTCTACACTGTAAACATGATGAAATCTCCGAACTGTCGATTCGTTAATCCTTGATAGTTTGGCTGAACAAGAATGGCGCCAAAAATTTGATTGTAAATTTTCTGAAATTGGTCGAGATGGATTTGAAAAACACTGATAATGTCTATGTAATCTAGTTATTCGTAATTGCCCAAAATTAAAGTTACATGTGCGAACATTTCGCATGAAGGTCGCCATTTTTAATACTACTTCCGGTCCCAAGATTTTATGAACTCGTACCTGTTTGATTCGTTTAAAAAATGCAGCTTAAATCAATAGAAAAATCATTTGTTTCTGATTAAGAAACCCTGGCTAGTGAAGATGCAAAATTATCTTGCTAATTTTAAGATGAAAAATTCATATATTTTTAATCTATATTAACACATTTCAAATAATTTAAACACGTTTCAGGGAAAATATAAAAAAAAACCCACTATACATGCTGTTCTAAATTTATTTTTACTTCTATATATATTGCAAGTAATTTAGCTTAATAAGCTCCATCAATGTAAAGTACCGAAACAGAAAAATTTAATGTTTCAATTTTCATTTACATATTACACAAGCAAACTTAATTAAATTAACTTATATGCAAAGTTATATTAAAAAAGAAAAATCTGCAAAAAACCTGATAATATCTGTATAACATCTGTATAACACATTTAAACAATAAGCTAAATAAAATGTATTCCTCTATAATACTGTCTGAAATTTTTTGTGGACTACTGGTATAATGAGATATGCTTTAGATATCAGTTTATACATTTATCTCTTCATAACTCTATATTAAAACTTGATATAATATATGTAGCTTCAGTTCATTAGAAGAATGTTGATCCCAGTATCATAACATTCATCTGAAATATGAATATGAAATTAAAGCAGTTAAACTAAATACACTTTGTATTAACACTTAACAGCATTCTGTAAATTGCAGAAGCTTTGCATTATGTTAATCTACTGAGACATCTGTTCTAACTATTGTATATTAAACTTTAACATAAGATAACAATACATCTGTGTGTCTTTGTGCTCTGGCACAATTTACAAATCTATACCACTGATTGCAGTTCCCCCAATATATGTATTTTTGTATAAAGTTGTTATTCTACTGGTTTAAGTGTTATTTGCAGGATCAAAGAGTCCTCCAAAAGTAGAGGGGAATTCGGCTGGCACAGTTCCGCAACAGATACCTTCTTATCCATCTCAGTGTCAGCAGTGTATCTCGTCTTGGAGAAATTTTTGCGTCCACTGACAGAGTGAAGAATTTCTTCCTTCCCCACTAAAGAAAGTAGATACTCAATTGGGCGGGGCTGATCCAAAATAAGATTAGAATACAGTATACATCTGAACTCCTCCGATGTTGAAGAGAATCCTTTTGGGTGACATTTTAGATCCCAATCCCAAGTTTGCTGAGGAAAAGTTGAAGCCCTCGTTGAAAACCTGAAGCTGACCTCTGAACACTTAGGACAGGCAGAGAAAGGCTGAATCACAAAACGTTTGTCCCATCTGAGATCTGTGTAGTTTCTCAGTAAGAAACAAGGACCACTGAATTCTTTAACAGTAGCCCTACTGGTCAAAGGCAGAGCATGATACTTATAAGCCTGAAGAAAATGCCTCTGGAAGATATCTTTATACTTCTGTGCAACTTCACTAGATTCTACAGCACAGAGCTGTTCAGCCGTCATCATAGGAAAACGAATGTGCGCCACAATTTCAGCCAGCTCTTGAATCTTCTCTCCTGCTCTTGCTGGAAACTGCGGACAAAGCAGCCACTTTAACATGGCATTCCATAGCTGGAATTCATCTTTGATACATAAATCTGAGCACTTGAGAAACTCAATGAGTTGCAGATTGTCCATATTAACCCATTCATCTTCCCATTCCACTGATCCGATGATATCGTCCATCTTCTCCGCCATTGCTCTGATGCAGGAATTGGTCAGTCGAGTGTTGTTACATTTGGTGGCGTATTGGAACCAAACATGAAACACCTCTTTCAGCTGTAGTTTTGGGATGATGAAGGAGCATGCAAATGAGATACAGACATTGCGTAGGTCTGTGACATTGTATTTGTCTGCTAGAATCAGTACTGGCAGTGTGTTGTCCATGTTTAGTTTGATGTGACAACTGTACAGGAATTGCAGAAATCGTGGAAAGACATTGACACACATACTGTCCTCCGTCAAAGTAAGATCCTGAATAACAAATTATTATATCCATTTAAGCTTGTGTGTTTATACCAACGAAGCTAATATGTATTACTATGAAACTACCAGATAAAAATTCCAGTTTGGTTATCTTATTCTTGCAGACATGTGGGTAACTTGAAGAACAACATTATAAGTGAAAAAATTGCAGTCCATAAAATTAAATCTACATTTGATACTATTTAAATTATTTTACAGTACCATACACATGACTGTTAAGTTGGAGTTGAGTACCTTTTTGCTACCATCACTCCACTCTTCACTCAGCATGCGCTCAAACACGTCACTGGAACGAACCAGAATGAGCTTGTGTGCGTAAAATTTGTTCCCTCCCACAACGAGTGTTACGTCACTTAGTGTAGAATTGTTGTAGAATTTGGCCTGGTCACTAAGGACCTGCCTCTCGTTACCGTAGCAGTCTATCCCCTCCGGGCTGGCCAGGGAGAGGGCGGTGGGGGAGGTGGGGATGGATACAGACATCTGACTCCGGGAGTTGTAGGACACCTGCTCACCGTCATGTTGTGCTAGAGGGGCCGTGTCCAACTGTAGACCAGCAATGTTTAATCCGGCAGCCATTAAGAGGCAATCAGCTAAAATTACAGAATATGCATTTATGACAAAGGGAAAGGTTAAAATTATTATAATTATTACATATTTGCATTAATTTTTCAGAAAAATCTTTTTTATCTATAATTAAGATCCTGGTTGTCTTTTTTTCTAATGAGAATTGACATATGTATAACATTATTACAAACAAGCTATATAGAGCTGCACATACATGTATTGTTATGGGTTGAGTTAAATTTTAAGATACATGCAGCTGGTATGTATTTTCTTTAATTTATAATTATTATGGGAATAGTAATTATCTAAACATGTTACAAAATACAGCATTATTCATTTTGAATTTTATAAAGCATTTACTTAAAATTATCTTATTAATAAAAACTACTTTTTCAGTTATTTTATTGTGATGTTATAAATAAACTAAATTGATCAGAATATTTTTTCAACATATGCATAAATTAGATATTCGCGAAATGACAGCTCTTCGGCAGTTATTGGGCTAATGTTTTTAAATATTTTAGATATGTTGCTACCAAAATGATAACAAATAAATGCATACTTTACCTGTGTTGTTCAATGTCAACACAAAGCTCGACTCAGCTGACTTTCTCTTTGTTTATGTTTTGCGTGTTGTCTACTGTCACCGGAAGTAAGGCTGTTTACATTATTGCCTCCCTTTCACTCAGCACATGGAAATAAGGCGGCTGAAGAGGACATATCAAATGTTTGGTAATTTTAAGGCCAGGACACATCATTTATCAACGAAAAGGCTGGGAACATATAAAACTTAAAAAACAAATACTATATAACTGTAATGTTCAATTATAACAGATTATATACAGCTTACTTTTATTCTACAATCTACTGAAAATGTGTTCAAGGGGAATAACTCTGGAAATGAAAAAACTACATTTCCTTGCAAGATAGATTAGAATCTTAGATGATTTTACTACCAGAGATTAGATTGAATAGGGATGTGAAAAAGGATTTCAAGTTAGTGAAGCTAAAAAAAAAATCAGTTCTGTTTGTCAGTCATTTCCTCCTTTCCTGGCACTTGTACATGTATTATGATTTATCATACATTATTAATGTTTAACTTAAAATCGTGGACAATGGACATTATTAGTTATGTAGACACTTAGAGGGGTAATCCATATTACCCCTCTAAGTGTCTACATAACAAATTTATCCTGCCGATGGTTCTCTAAAAGACTAAATATTTATAGTATCGATATATCGCTTTCACCGAGGGAAGCAAATTGTTCCGCATCCATTGTTGTCGTCTGATGCATTGTGATATCAGTTATGAAGCTCCATGCGGGGTCACGTGGAGACAGTATATTGATGATGTGTGGTTGGTAAACTTTAATATATGTGGGTAGGTCACGTGGAGGGGGCACATTAGCAATTTTAAGGTGGGTAGACAACATAACATCGTTTAATGCAGTATTGCTCTCAACCAATGAAATTTCTAGATTCTTATCAGAGGCAGGATAAGTCACTTTACATGTGCATATGTATGAAATGGTTGCATAGCTGAAATCAGGGACCTGATATAGGTCCCTGCTGAAATCCATGAAATTTATCATCTATCCAGGGACCTATATACTGAGTATATAGGTTCCTAATCCATCTTATGAATTTTTAATCAATAGCCAAAATATTCTTTCATTAAGTGCAGATTCCCTATTGCTACTGACAGAAGTTTTCCAGTGCATGGATTAAAATGAAAGCTTTACAGTTATTAAGAAGAATCTCTATCCAAGACTTCACATTTTGCAAAACAAGAATCCTCACCAGACTTTTAAGTTCTAGCAGTAGCATTACAGAATGGACACAGTCATTTGACCCCCCTGTTCCAGAGTTTGATTGGCAGTACCTATGTGATGAAAAAAATCAGAAGGAAATAAAGGAAAACATTATCAACAGGAAAGGAGTGGGAGACATAGAGAAAGTGGTAAATTTAAGAGAGTAACACATACATTTTAATGTTAATTCAATATTTTTAAAGGACAAAATATTTAAAAATACTCTACCTTTATCATATCAAATAAAATTAACATTTTGCTTGTATATTTATTTCAGACTTCATTGTGGAAAGCATACCAGAAGGAAACAGAAGTAAGGCCTTATTGATAACATTTCTATCTACTTGCATGGCTTGTTACATGACAAGTCATTAATATTTTTAACAAGAATAATATCAAAACTTTGACAAAAAATTCTTTCAAATATATGTATTTATTTGGACCACATTAATGGCAATATTCTGACTCAAAAGTTGTATTGGTATGTGAATCATGTTGTAAGTGAAAAATAGACTCATAAAATTGTTAAATGTACATGTAGGTTGCATTGAAAGACTCTTCACTACAACAGTTAAATGAGGCAGCATCTCGGCTCCCTAACAGAACCTCTCCAGCATCTGTAAGTTACTGACTTCTACTGAACACATTATAAAATATCACAGTGTCTTGATAGCTTCAATGGGAAGAATTGAAAGTATATTTACCATGAATTTCTGCTAAAAGAAAGGCACTTTAATTTTGAATTTTGCTTCCATATACTAGTAAATGAGATTCAGAAACAGTGGAAAGTCTTTTATGGAATTTGTTAAAAAAAGTTTGTCACTGATATATCCAGGATTTCCTTTTAAGAGAGTTCATTATAATCAGGTTTTACTGTAAAATCATCATGTTACTAATTTTATGATGTATTTTGTTCTATAGCCAATAGGAAGTGAGGAGGTGGCAGAGTGTAAAGGGCTCTATGGAACAAAAAGAGGTTTGTTTGTTTTTTTTTTTAAATCAAAATCAAACTTTTTAAATAGTGCAAGAGGACAAGTTTTAAACAGAACAAATTCAAAGAAAGCAAACTGTAAACGTATTACATTTGGCACTGTATTCTTTTTAGCATTTTTGGCAGAAAGAAACTTCTGCTAATTTAAGTACAACACTTAATGTCTTAAACATAGGTACATTAATAAGAACTTATAAATATGCGCTAACTTGTTAAAAAATCAATTTCCGCCAAATATTGTACATGCTAAATATAATACATTTACAGTATTTTTTATGAGCTGTTTTGTATTGTAGTTAACAGCCTCTTTGAAAAAAAAACTAACATTCAGATATTTTGGTGCTTGGGTTTGAACCCCCATAATCCACTTAAAAAAAAAAAAAAATAATGGAATGATTTTTAGGTCACCTGAGTAACTCAGGTGACCTATTGCTATCCGTTTTCGTCCGTCGTCGTGTGTTGTGCGTCGTGTGTTAACATTTAAACATTTTCAGCTTCTTCTCTGAAACCACTGAACCAATTTCAACCAAATTTGGTATACAGCATCTATGGGTGAATCATATAAAAATTGTGAATTTTATTTGGGGCCTGAGTGGTGGGGCCAAAACCACTAAAATTATTGCAATCTTTAAAAATCTTCTTCTTTACTCCTGGACATCAAGCAGGCAAACTGTTGGCATGAATGTAATGAGCATTGAGTCCTCTACCAAAATTGTGAAATTCATGGCCCCAGGGTCAGGGGTTCTAGTGCTAGGGCGGGGCTATATAAATTATATAGTGAAAATGCATGATTTCTTTGAAATTCTTCTTCTCTGCTCCTGGGTATTAAGTAAACTAACTAAGTACATAGTTATGATGAGCAAGAATGCCTCTTCCAAAATTGTGAATTTTATGGCCCCAGGGTCAGGGGTTCTGGTGTTAGGGCGGGGCTCTATTTATTATATAGTGAAAATGCATTAATTCTTTGAAAATCTTCTTCTCTGCTTCTGGGCATTAAATAAACTAACCAAGGAGATACTGTAAATCACTTTTTATTCGCGAGAACTTTATTTTCGCGTAATTACGCGAGACAATGCTTTCGCGAAAATTAAATTCTCGTGTTTAAAAGTATTTCTTACGATTATATAGGGGAATAACAACTATTCGTAAAAATTATGTCTCGCTTACAAAGAGTTAATGACAATCTCGCAAAAATAAGGTGTAGCGAAAATTTAGTGATCTACAGTAGTTATGATGAGCAAGAGTGCCTCTTCCAAATTTGTGAATTTTTATGACCCCAGGGTAAGGGGTTCTGGTGTTAGGGTGGGGCTCTATTGGTAATATAGTGAAAATGCATTTATTCATTGAAAATCTTCTTCTCTGCTTCTGGGTATTAAATAAACTAACTAGGTACATAGTTATGATGAGCAAGAGTGCCTCTTCCAAAATTGTGAATTTTGTGGCCCCAGGGTCAGGGGTTCTGGTGTTAAGGTGGGGCTCTATTGATTATATTGTGAAAATGCATTAATTCTTTGAAAAGCTTCTCTGCTACTAGGTATTAAATAAACTAACCAAGCTTATAGTTATGATGAGGAAGAGTGCCTCTTCCAAAATTGTGAATTTTATGGCCCCAGGGTCAGGGGTTCTGGTGATAGGGCGGGGCTCTGTTGATTACATAGTGAAAATACATTAATTCTTTGAAAATCTTTCTGTTGCTCCTAGGTTTTATGCCAATGATCCAAGTATATATATTTATGATGAAGAAAGGTGCATCTAGCAAAAGGGTTATTTTTATGCCCCCTCCCTGGATCGGGGGGGGTTACATAGTCTGAAAATAAATTAATGCTTTGAAATCTGCTCTTTGGTATTAATCAACTATTTTATGATAAAATTTGCAAAATTTTCAATATTGGCCCCAGGGTATTGTGCCTTTGGGATGAGGTGCACAACTGGTTATAGAGTGGAAGTGCATTTTCTCTTTGTTATTCTGATCTACCTCTGGGTATTAAGTAAATAGAGTAAGCATGCTAAGTCTATAATTATGATAAGCAATAGTGCCTCTTTCAAAATTGTGAACTGTGAATTTCATAGCCTCTGGTTTAAAACATGAACCAAATTTAATTGTTTGAAAGTTGTTGCACAATACTCAATTGACCTATAAGGCCCGTGGGCCTCTTGTTGCTAAAAGAATTTTCATCAGAAAAGTTTTGTTTGTCCTACCTTTATTCTAAATACATAGTGTATACTAAACATGACTTTCATACTTTTAAAGCTATGGGCATTTTGCACATCTTGTTCGACCATCTCCTTTACTGTATTAGAAATTCTGTTTTCAGATTATACGTTTCAACCACAGTCTGTGATAGATATTGGACAGAGGTTAAATCTTCTTAGAGTAAGGTACTCAAATATTACATGTATTAGAATTTTGTGAGAACTGAGAATACCAGATGTAATTCTTTGACACTTTTTTTGTACCCATGGATATTCACTCTCATTATAACATCTTGCTTTTCAGTGATGTTGGTCACACTACAGGACCACGGACCTACTACTTTCTGTCTGACCTAGCTAGGTTGGAGCAGGCCCTGATTAGGTATACCTTGGACCATCTTCTGCCCAAAGGCTTCTCCCTGGTGTCTGTCCCAGATCTACTAAATTCTAATATTGTAGTAAGTCCTCTGTTGTCAGTACTGTCAAAGCTTTCACCTAAATTCTGATATTATAGTAAGTCCTCAACTGTCAGTGCTCTTAAAGCTTTACAGTTTTATTACTGACATATTTTGACTTGTAAGTTACTGAGCTCATTGCATAAAAAATTAAACATCTCTGAATACAAATGTACCATAAATGAAAATTATATTTCTCAAAAGATGCAAAAAAAAAATATT